TGCAACTTATTATCTAAAACTCTTCCTTCCATTATCTCTTTGTTTTGTGAATTTTGGGGGAGTTCTCTACTCAGTTCAAATACTCCCAAGATAAGGAAAAAGAAAAGAGCTGTTCTGATAATGGATTATTGAAAGATTTGGGGGCTTGAATATTTGTGAAATTGTTTCATGCCATAGAGCACTGGATTAAGAATCAGACAATGTGAGGTAAAATTCTAGTTTGGCAAATCGCTAATCATGCTTCTAGCTCTGTAAAATGGAAATACTTATCTATGAACTTTCTTTGTACCTTACCAGACTGATAAGATAATCAAAATAAGCTAATTTAATTCTTGCTAATTACAGCAGAAATAGACCAACTTCTGTTTTGGTTAGAATCATATGATATTTAACCTGTAATAATGCCTTACAAATATAAATTTCTTAGAAAAATAAATGGTCAAAACTCACTGTCAGAAATTCCTGAGGTCTAATTCCATCTTTTCAAGAACTCTTAGCTCTGAGTAATTAATTACATCTACATTTGTCAAATAAATTTAACATTTAGCTTATGGAGCCCTGTTAAGAGCTTATTTAACATTAGAATATTTGTAAATTTTCCAGGCTTGTTTACAAATTGATCCTGCTGAGAGGATATCATCTACTGATCTTTTGCATCATGAGTATTTTACTAGAGATGGATTTATTGAAAAGTAAGCATTTTGAATGAATGTGGACTTTTTTAGTGTACTAAAAAGTTTTTGTATTAGGAAATTTTACTAGCACGAGAATTGCTACATAGGTTAATATTAAACAACATGAAAATTCAGTTTAACAAAAACTTACTGAGCTTCTGTATTTACTATGTAAACAGTAGAATTACAGGTGTCATGGTGAAAATTCTAATAATAAAAATAATTACAATTAGCATTCATTACACAGTTACTATGTCCTACACAGTGTGCTAAGCTCTTTATACACATTCTCAATTGTCATCAGATGCCAGAGATAACATTAAATAAGTAATCAATACTTCTTAACTTTATTCCTATTTAGACATCTGACTCACAATAATCCAGTTTTTCCTCTCTAATAGCATCTCTGATCTATATATTATAATTAACATTCATTTCCCAGATGGTTTTTGTTTTTTCTCTGCTTTACTTATCCTTTATTGCAGTCCCTGTTGTCTTATTCTCCCCACCAAACTGGAAGTTCCTTGAAGACAAGGACCATGTCTCTTAAAGCCTTTCTGTGTCCCACATTGTATATAAACTATATAATGACATATGATTACCAGGAGGGAAGGGGGTGGAAAGGGATAAATTGGGAGTTCAAAATTTGCAAATATTAACTACTATATATAAAATAGATAAACAACAAGTTTCTACTGTATAACACATGAAACTATATTCAATATCTTGTAGTAACCTATAGTGAAAAAGAATATGAAAATGAATATATGTATGTATATGTATGACTGAAATATACTGTATACCAGAAATTGATACATTATAACTGACTGTACTTCAATTTAAAATATATATATATATAATAATGATAATGTAGATTAATAAGTCAGCCATGCTTCTTAAAAAAATACCATTTTCTATTTGGGCTTTGAAAGAAACAGAGAAAGTTTATCATTAATTGCAAAATCATTCAGTTTGCCTTTGGATGTGAGGTCAGAAACATGAATATCAATTAAAAATGTGATAGAGTTAAGATTAAGAATAAAAAAGTCCAGGAACTGCCATTGAAGATAGACTGAAATAGAAAAAGGCAAAGAAAAGAGAATCTGAAAGTAGCTAGAACTTCATGCATTTTAGGAATTTTAATCTAAAACAAAAATGAGAAGAAGATATATTGAAAGTGCCATTGATGAAAAGTGTCAGTTGTTGAATGAAAAAGGTGCTTCCTATCAGTTCTACCTATACAAAGTTGATTTCTTTTGGGTATTTAGATATTAGAATTTTATTATTATAGGGTGAAAGTTCTTGAGTTCCAATTATAAAGTGCTCAGAAAATATTTGGGGAAGATCTTTTTGATAAGAGGCCTCTTCCTTTCTTGGACCTTCTGCAGTACTAGGGGTTTTGACAGAAGTGTGCCATTTTCCACTGTATAGCACAGGGAACTATATTCAATATCTTGTAGTAACACTTCCAGAAGTATGCCACTAGTTATTTTCTTCATCTCCTCACACTACCTTTTACTAGAATTTTAGGGAATAATTCATTCATGAAAGAATTCATTCAGTCCCAAACTGATAGGAATAGCTGCTTCAAGGAGGGGAACTGTGCAACTCAGGGAGAGGGGTGGGAAGGAGTCTTCACAGTATAGCCTTTTGAGTTTTGAGCCATGTGAATGGATTTTCTATTAAGAAATGGATAACTGGGGGGAAAAAGGGAAACTAAAACCAAAACAATTTCCCTTCAATACTGATGTATTCTGTTGTATTTTATACTAAAAATCTTTCCCTAGAGTAAGATTTCAGAAACTAGGCCATCTTTTAAGTACTGCTGCTTTAAAGAACCACTTTAAAGGATAAAGTGGCCTGAGTTTTCCTTGAAAAGAATAATATATTTATCAAAATTAAAAATAATACTTTGAAGTGGAAGGAAGTTCTAGTGGGTTGAGGTATCCGTGGGAGCAGTCAGGTGGTGGGAGACGCCATATGGGAACCCAAGCTGTGGATTAAGCTTGATCAAAATGACAACCTCCCAAAAGCTTCTTCGTGGCAGAACCCATGGGGGAACAGCCAGAAAACCTTGCCAGTATTGGTGAAGTTCTGGGCAAAAAGCTGGAGGAAAGGAGATTTTACAAGGCCTATGTGGTCTTAGGCCAGTTCCTGCTACTAAAAAAAGATGAAGACCTTTTCCAGGTACAGCTGAAGGACACATGTGACACCAAAGCCAAGCAGTCCCAGGACTGTTTAAGGTGCCTTACAGAGTGGTATGAAGCTGTCTTGTAATACTCTCTGAGGAGCCACCCTGCCCTAGCCCCAGTATTGAGTCTCCAGAGTTTGCAGCCAAATGAGGCCTCCTCCCCTGTCCTCTACAAAGGAAAAGATTACTGTTGTCATTGTCACCTCCAATGTACTCCAGCGTCTTTTGAGAATTCTCTCCCTTCATCATTTCCACTTTTTTTGGAATTCTCATTCTTGCATGCATCTCCCTTCTCTCCCTGCCAGTTTTATGTCAGCAGTTACCAGATTTTCTGAGAGGATTCCTTGCCCATTTCCTCATGATCATCCTCGCCTCTGGTCTGTTTTATGCCATTTAGCCCTTTTTGGCTGAACACTCACTGTCCTTGTAAATTATTTTAAGTCAGTAATGTCAGTGGCTTTAAAAAAAAAAAGAGCAATACTTTGAGTAAACTTTGCATCACAAAAGGGATCTAATTCATTTAAGTCTATTTTGTAAAAGTTTTATTAATAGTTGAATTACCATGGAAAAATTTTTGAAACATGTGTCTTTACCAGGAAGCAATTTGTATTTGGTTAATGTTGTGCCATCTCTTGGCATGCATTACTGATTATTTATGTTGTAGAGCTAATGTAAATCAATTAATTGTCCATTAAAGATAAAAAACTACATAAAGTATTTGATATTGCTTGTTTTATCAGATTCATACCAGAACTGAGAGCTAAAATACTACAAGAAGCAAAAGTTAATTCATTCATAAAGCCAAAAGAGAATTTTAAAGAAAATGGATTTAAGAAAGATAAAAGAAAAATAATTTATACTGATACACTGCTAAGCACTTCAGTTTGGGGAAAGGTAAAAACTGGTTTTCTTTTTAGTCAATATTGCTGTATTATAGTTAGCACTCTAATAATATTAAAAACTGTTCTTCTGACTCAGATTTTGAATGTATCTATTCCAGGAAATGGAAAAAGAGAAAAAGCCCAAGGAGATCAAAGTCAGAGTTATTAAAGTCAAAGGAGGAAAAGGAGCTATCTTAGAACCAAAAAAGACAGAGTGTGAAGGTAGACACTGTCAACAGGATGCAGCTGAAATTGCTCATACCAAACTTGTAATCAGCGAACCACCAAACCCTGTCAATCCCAGCACTAACTCTTTGGGCATGAAAGATGATCCACATGCTGGAGGTAGTATGATGATGCCACCCATTAATCTAACTAGCAGTAATTTGATGGCTTCAAATCCCAGTTCAAATCTCTCCCACTCCAATTCAAGGTGAGTTCTAACAGAAAAGAAATAGAAGGAAATAAGCCTAAAGTAATACAGTGTTCTTATATAATGGTATTACAACAAATCAAGTTCATAGCATCTGTATAAACTGAATTTGAAGGTATATTGAAATTATAATCACGTAATGGGCCATTACTAAGTGCTTCTTGTGAATGCTAATGAAGAAATTAACTTTTTTTGGCTATCTAGGTGTTTAGATTTTCACTAATGCCTTTTGGAAAAACCTTTTTTAAAAAAAGACTCTCAGAAACAGTACGTCTCATTTGAAAAGAATAATGTAACATGACCTTAGTTTTGATAGTGATGTGCCTTCATATAACAAAGTAAGCTTTATTTTTGTATCACAGCAAATTGTCTAAATGGAGAAAGGATAGTTGAGAATAGTTTAATAATCAAATAACTTTTCAAGGTCAAGTATTTTAGGAGAAAAAACAACATTTAGGACCAATTTTAGATTTAGCTACTAATACAGATTAAGAGACTGGTACCGTGAGCCTGGTTAATCAAGGGCAATGTGATGGATGGCAAGGGTCTGTCTAGCGAGGCATCAGAGGCCAGTTCTAAATTTAGGGGAACTACTATAGCTCTAGATGGAGAAGGACACTAGGTTCAAAATCCTAAGCTGATCCTAGCAGACTGGTGAAGCTTAGTAGTCTGCAGAGGTGGGAAAGTGGACATGTCTGTGTTAGTCCAAAGGTACAACAGGCTACAGACAGCAAGTACTCAATCATTCTTGAAGTGATTTCCAAGCTATAGTTGTAATAATCAGAGTTATGAACTAACCTTGCTCAGAAAGCTCAGAAATTCAGAATCCAGTAGTTAAGAGATCCAGGTTCAGAACAGATAGAAGGGACCAAGTAGGCCAGTTTGAGTAACCCCACAACATGGTTGTCACCACTGATGTTAGCCATGAGTGAGTTATTCTCTGCTTTATTTTCACCTCTATTTAGAGCAATCGGTACTTAAGGACTGACAGTTGCATTTTGGCACTCATTGTTCAAACAGTAGACTACCATGGTACAACTTACCATTATTGAAGCTAAAATAGAAGCACTTCTGGGGAATTCTAATAATTTCTCATTTGTTTTCAAATAATAGGTTAACTGAAAGAGCAAATAAGAGACGTACTTCACAGTTTATTGGACAAGTTATGTCTAATAGCAGGCATGAGGATACAGGTCCCACTCAAGTAAGGCAAGAAGCTTATCATTAAAATATGGCCTCTTCAGTGTTATCCCTCTACCTCTTATCCTCTTCTTTATCTTTGGGGCTCTAACACTTTTTAAAATGTACTTTTAGTTTCCTTTTTTTTCCCTAAGATGAAAATAGGTCATAATTTTCTTAGTGCTTTCACGATTTTAGTTAATTTCTTATAACTTGATTTGTGTATTTATTGTGTGACTTAGGGAAAAATATTTTCACCTTTAAAAGTCACAAGACTTTTTGTTTTTTCACGTCCAAAAAATGTTTTTAATATCTCACTTTATAGATAAAAAGCAGTTGTCGCATATGTACATCTTACTTTCCACTAGAAAAAATAATCAATATAGTTTGTTTCCTTATTTTTCACATAGAAAAGTAGTTTAATTAAAAATTGCAACAGTGTTATTTATAATAATAAATCACTAAAAACAACAGAAATTCTTCCAAGAGCCAGTGACAGGTTAAGTATGTTAGAGTATATCCACACCATGGGGTAACTACAGATTACATTGTGGAAGAGTTCATTAACCTAGGAAAGTTTCAATTTTCTGTTGTCAAATGAGCAAAAATACATAACACAAAAGGTTTTTCCAGAATGCTGGGTTCACAAGTAATTGTTTTCCTTTGGATTTTTCCAGTGTTTAAAGCATATCATTTTGTAAATAGAAAAATAAGTTGTTAATAAGATGAACTGAAACAATTTGTCCAAAGTCAGAGTGCAATGAATAGGATCAAAAATTAAAAGTTGAGACTGTAGTTCTTATGATCAAGACTATTATTCTCAGATTATCCAGTATGATTTAAAAAAAAGTTTACTTTATGAAATTTTTATTGGCATTTGATCTGTTTATATGTTTGATGGTATTCTCTTCTACTTCTTAATTACTAAAATAACCTTGCAAAGATAGTCATTTTTATGCCTGTCTTACACCATCCAAATGGCTAGCAATTCTAGGCTTGTCATTCAATAAGTAGTTACACAGCTTTCTTCAAATTAACTCTTGTTTATTTGTTTGTTTAGAACCAGATGGAGAAGGGTGTGTTTAATGAGCGAACAGGTCAAAGTGACCAAATGGCAAATGGAAACAAAAGGAAGCTGAATTTTTCCAGATCTGACAGGAAAGAATTCCATTTCCCAGAATTGCCTTTCACAATACAGTCAAAGGAGATGAAAGGAATGGAAGGTATACATTTGTTGCATAGCTTTAGAAATTTCCAGACTTCATCTTTTGCAAGACCTTTTTTGGTAGTATAATTTACATGTTATAATGTGGTTTAGGTAGAAAGGAGTATATTGCTGTGCAAAATATTTTCAGCCGATGAGAATTTTTCCCCATATTCAAATAAGGTGTGAGACTTAAAGAAGGTAATTTTAAAGGAGGATTAAGAAAACTTTAAAAAGTAAAATTTTCATTAGTTTAATTTTGTTGAAGTGTTAGATCAGTATTTGAGGAAGTTGTTTTTGGTTCAGTATATGACTGGAGTAAATCACTTTCCTCTGTTTCTCCGTGATTATTTGCCCATATAATAACAGGAATGATATATGTGCTTCAGGCATCCAAGGATTTACTAGATTAGGATTTATAACATATATTGAGCTCATAAATGAAACTCATTGTTTTTGCTGAGTAAATGTTATGTTTCTTTGAAGAACAGTGACACCTTGTGAAAAGTTAATATAATAGCAAGAAAATAGTACTTGCACAGCTCAAGAGGAATTATCTGATCCACTTGACAGTTATACTCAGAATTTTAAAAATAAATGTCTTCTTTTAATACCTGGCAGACTATTTGTCAAGTTATATAACAAATCATTTATGATTGGCACATTATACCATTACAACTCACGATTTGTTCAGTCCCTTTATAATAAACTGAGAAACTGACTTCAGTGGATATCAGGAATTTTCATTTGAATCTCTTGGAAAGGAAAGTAAAATTTCAAGGTAGGAATAACAAGTTCTCATTGTTGTTTATATTTCTGCAAAAGTTAAACATATAAAAGTGCTGAAGAGGGAATCAAAGAAAACAGATTCATCTAAAATACCAACTTTAATTAATGCAGATCACTATCAAGAAAAACAAGAGGTAAAACTTTTTTTGTTTATAGCTTTCATTAAGTAATGCTGTTTAGAACACTTGACTTAGTATATAAATTTAGCTATTATAATAGCAAGAAAATAGGTAAAAATTAAAAATTCTGTAATCTTTGAAGTTGAGAAATTGAACTATATTTTCCTAGAATAACCAAATACTAAAGGTTTTAAAAAGTTATTTTGGGGGAGTAGTAAATACCCACTCTCATTTGAATGTTGAGTGACTGAATATACAGCACCCAAGGAAGATAATATATGTTATGCATACTACCTGGTGGTGGGTAAGCCATGCCAGAGGAAAGGGATAATGGTGTAAACATTGGGCTATAACAGCCACAAGAACATATGTATTTGTCTTTAGCCCTTTTCTTCCTGCTTTTTCTCCAACTTATCCCACCCCCATCTCTGCTGTCTATCTAATTCCCTGTTTTCACAAAGATTTGCTCTTAGCTATCAGATAATCTTGAATTTTATTTGGGAATCTTGAAGAAGCGATCAACATTCAAATGAATACTCTCTGAAATATTCTTTTAAGGGAAGGGGATTGTGCTGAGCACCCACTGAATTATATAAACAACCTTCTATCCTGCATACTTGTGAGGTCATCAACTTCATTATCTGTTCCTTATTTTTTAAATAAAATTGACTACATTTTTATTCATGATAAAATTAGCATGTACTTATTAAGGAAATTTAAAGAAATTAGAAAAATAGAAACATTAACCTGAAACTATGTAAGAAGGCATTTTAACTAAGTCTATCCAATCTCTACAACATTCAGATGAAAGGGTTATCAGACATTGTTAGATATATTTTCACAGTGACATTAATGCCTTATTCTGGGCCTAGAACCTGTTAACAACTCCACAATCAACTTTGCAGAAAAGAATTAGTTTCTAGGTAGAACAAGAAAGGCATTAATGGTCATCTTTTAGTTTGTTATAAAAAGTAATAAGGTAGCTTTAAACTTCTAAACTTGGGTGACTTATTGATCTCACAGTGTGTTAAACAGCACCAGGGTTGGCATATTTTTTTAATGATTGGGTGAGTTAGGTTTCTTGAATTTGGGAAGACTAGTAATGTGCTACATGTGTTTATCCTACTGTCCTATGAGAGCCCCCAAAACTAAAGTTACATTTCAATGCAGGAAGAAAGGAACTCTTAAGACAGTTCTGTCACTTAAAAAAATACATAAGTAAATAGGAGGGAAAATCCCTTCTTGCTCATATGGTGTAGAATGCCTGAAAAGATAATCTTTTTAAGAGTAACCTTGAAACAGTTGTAGTTATTAGAAATATCCAGAAGTCATCAATGATGATTGTAGTTTATTTGTACTAATCATTTAAATGCAGTTCTCACAAATGACTGAAATTGCATGTAGGGCTAGTCCAAATGCTTTTAATAAGTTAATGTCAGAATTAAGAAAGTTTCCTAAATTTTGAGTTGGTAGTTTGTTATTTTAGAGCATGAGAGAATTTGACATGTTTTTAAAAACATAAAATAGGGAATACCAGCTTTGTTCTGTTCTTGGCTCTGCCATTCATTTGCTTTCGAATTACTGAATTGCATCCAGGCACTTCCCGTTATACATTAAACTCTTTCAGGCATCTTAAATGTATACTGAAATAGTATATACATGTATTGAATAGACTCTGACCTAGAGAGAAACCCTAATTACTGCTAATGAGTGAGTTAGGCAAGAGAGAAAGAATCCATACAAAAGCCACCTTCAATTTTATCTCACGATGATAATAAGGAATACTTTGCTAGAGGGTCTCCCTGTACCTATAAAATAACCCCCAGGTACAAAATACAAATACTTATCTTTGGCTGTATTTCCTTAGCCAAAGACTCACCATGTCCTCAATTAAGGTCCTGTTTCTATTTACTTTTTAGAATACAGGAAATGCACAAACTGAAAGGAAGAAGAACCTGCCAGATGTAGAGTAGAAAATGCAACAGCTGAAAATTCAGGGAATCCCAGAATCACTGTATGGTTAAAAAAAATCCTTTTTATTAATACTACATACACAAAAGTGCTGACTAGAGAATTCTACAGATATATTGTAAATCCTGTGTAGTTATGTGTATACTCACCTCAGTTTGTTTTTAAATTTCTTAATCTTTAGATTATTCATGTTTTCTTAATTTGAACATTAATTTATAAAAACTGCCTAACTAGTGCATCCTAATAAAACTACAGCTTACATTAAGTCATATAATTTTATCTGATGACCTGTTATCTCAGTCATGTTTGATTAGTGGTCATTCTAAGCTTTGGTTCAAAACTTTATAGATAGAAAAGCTTCCAGATGTGTAATAAAGTGAGATTCCAATATCTGGGAGCACCAAACATTTCTGAGCAAACAAATACACTTGATAAGCATGAAACAGGGGTTTTGTTCCACACTGGACATTCCTGAGCAGCATTTAAACATGTCATGAAGGTTGTTTAAAAGAATGGAACTCTTTTGGCTTGACAAGCATGTTTATCCTTTAGTAGTTTGCTTAGAATATATTGTTACGTATAATTTAACATTAATACAGTCACGGTTTTGGTAACATGTATCTACATTCTTATCCTTGGTTCTTATTGGCTTGGTTTCTAATTTTAGGGTGGAGATGGCCATTGTAAGGGGAAGAATTTGAAGAGGAACAGATTTTTTTTCTGGTAGTGTCTTTTCTTTTAAATCTTAAAAATACAAATTGGCAAGTCTTCCCTTTAATTTTACATGCAGTGGAAATGTAACGTGAGCTGTTAAGACAGCAATTCCTATGCATTAGCATCGTACAACTTTGTTTTGTTAGTAAACCACTGTTTTCTTCTTTCTTTCTTTCTTCTAAGAATTCTGTTGATGTGATGCTTTGATTTGGATTTATAAAGTCATCTCCTTTCTGCCTGCTTCTTTACTTGCCATGATTACTGAGTAGGTGATATATCCTGTCATATGACCCACACTGTATATATACTGATTTCTACCCTCTGCTAGTCACATAATGTAAGTGTCAGTTATTTCCTAAAATGCTCAGGCTTCCTGAAGTGAATTCTTAATGAAATATCTGACCATTAAAAAAAAAAAAGATATTCATTACCATTACATGATTATAAATATGTTCTGTTAATCAGCTATAAAAGTATTTATAATATTTATAAAGTATCTGAAAATTATATGATATTTAACTGTTACATTTTTGTATACTTTTAAACAACTATCAGCACCCTTCTGGTTTCCTAGTTCCAGCTGATAGTGCCTCTTATGTGGTACAGACTTTTTCTATTTAAGTACAATCCAGAAGAGGTATACAACTAAAATTCTTGATTGTTGTATTTTTTAAAAAACAATAAAGTGAGGTTATCTGGTATTTTACCAGAAGTCTGCCTGATTTCCTATTTACTAAATAGACGTGAAAAACAAAGGAAAACATAATTTTTTTATTACAATATTGTGATTTCTTTTCAATTCATTAAAAGGTTGATAAGAATAAACAGCTGAGATTATTATATATAATATACCTTTCTAACAGACTCCTTGTTAGCTTTAGTAAGTAATCTCCTCCAGGGAGATTAAGAGTTGTCCCTGTGGTAGGTTTACTAAATAGAAGTTTGCCCATTGCCTGTTGCATTTATATATTTGTTAATCCTTATATCAAAATATTGTGCTTTTTTTCCAATTTCTACAAAAATGCATGCTGAGATTTTGATTGGGATAGTGTTAAATCTATACATCAATTTGACTAAAATGGATATCTTAGAAATATTGAATCTTCCAATCTACAAGCATGGTGTAAACTCTCCATTTATTTAGATCTTCAAATTTTTTCCTGTAATATTTTGGAGTAGTCTTATACATAATTCATTAAATTTATTCATAGGTTTTTTGTTTTTTATGCTATTATGAATGGTATTTTTAATATCACCTTTTGGTTGATTGCTGCTAGTATTACAGAGATACAATTTGTTTTTCTATATTGATCTTGTATTCTGAGACCTTGCTAAATTAAATTCACTTATTCTCATAGGTTTCCTTCATTCCTTTGTTCCTTCCTTCCTTATTCAGTTATAGCATCTGCAGATAAGGATAGTTTTACTTTTTCCTTTCTAGTGTTTATGCCCTTTATTCCTTTTTCTTTCCTTATGGTACTGACTGTGATGTGTGATAATGCTGACCAGGAATAGTGGGAGTGGACATTTTTGCCTTTTTTCCTGTACCAGACAGAAAACATACAGCCTTTTCTTATTAAGTGTGATGTTAATTGTAGGTTTTATGTAGATGATTTTTATTAGCTTGAGGAAGGTTCCTTTTTTTCCTGTTTGCTGAGTTGTCCTTACCATGTGTTAAATTTTGTTAAATGCTTTTCCTGTATCTACTGGGATGTTCTTATGATTTTCCTCCTTTATTCCTTTAATATGAATTACATTAATTAATATTTTCATGAAATCAGCCCTACATTCCTAGGATTAAATGCCACTTGATCTTTTTTATGTATTGTATTGTATTAGTTAGTATTTTATTAAGAATTTTGGCATTTACATTAATGAGAGATTTTTAGTCCCCTTTTTTTTCTAGTATTGTCTTTGTCTGCTTTTGGTATCAGCATTATGGTGCTTCCTAAAATGAGTCATTAAGTCTTCACTTCTCTTCTGTTTTCTGAAAGAATTTGTGTTGAGTTGACTTTATTTTCTCCTTAAATATTTGCTGGAAATCACCAGTAAAGCCAACAGGAGTTTTCAATTGTGGAAAGATTTTAAGATGCAAATTCAATTTCCTTAAACTTATTTAATAAATATGGAGATACCCAGATTTGCTATTTCTCCTGTTTTGGTAATTTGCATCTTTCAACGAATTTATCTATTCCATCAAAGTTGCTGGTTTTTATTGGCGTAACATTGCTTATCATTTTCCCTTGTTAATCATTTAAAAGTTTATAAGATCTATGGTGATACCCCCTTTATCATTTCTTGTATTGGTGATTTGTATTTCCTTTTTCGTGGTAAGTCTAGCTAGAGGTTTATCAATTTTATTAGTTTTTTTGCAGAACTAACTTTTGGATTTATTGATAATTTTTATTGTTTTCTTCCCCTATTTTATTGATTTATGTTCTTTTCTTTACCATTTCATTCCTCTGTTTATTTTGGATTTAATTTGCTGTCTGTGACATTGTTTGTCCCCTATTCATCTTTGTCCTCTGTTCTTGACACAGAGCTCCCAAAACCTTAATAATTTCCTGAGTGATAGGAATGAGAGGAGAATCTTTTGTTATTCATAATTAATCCCTTTCAACTATACCTGAGTTTATGCTAATGAGGTATTAAGTGTCATATCTTTACTCATTTTCAGTCTACTAGTTTTATCAATTGATGAGGGAGGAATATTAAAATCTTCAACTATAATTAAAGATTTGTTTGTTTCTCCTTTCAGTTCTATTAGTAGTTGCTTTATGCATTTTGAAGCTTTGTTATTAGGTGAACATATATTTAGGACTATTATATTTCTGATGAAACAGACCTTTCCTGCTATCTAGTGTCTGAAAATGGATGTTTTGTATGGTTTTTTTTTTCAGTCTTATTATTGTTTAAGGTAAGACCATACCTATTACTCCATCATGGCTGGAACTAGAAGTTCAGTTAAAGAGCTCTGGAAGTGGAGATCTAGTCACTATTGTGAATAAGGAAGAACTTTTAGAGTCATCAATAAAAGTTCTAGCTCAGTCTTATATAACATGTCCCTGGTTGATTTTCTGCTGTCTTAGTTTAAGACTATCCCTAAGGATATGGATGGATATGTGGACAGGAATTTATAGGAATTACAGGAATTGCCATACTTTCTGTTTTTGTTCTTGTTCTGGTTAGTATAATGATCATTTTTTCCAGTGAATTCTTTGCCAATAGCATGAAAGTTTGAAATGTGAAAGTATGAAGTTTGCCAATGAAATGCAGTTGGATATAATTGGATAGGATGAATAGTTTACTGGCTGATAATGATTGTCAAAAGGAATTAGTCAGGAAAATGTATTTGAGTTGTATTTCTGGTCTGTTTTCATTTTCCAAATATGACTCTAACTTATAAATACTTGTTACAGAACACTTTTTTAAGCAAATGGTTGACATAGTGAGTTGCTGATATCAAAACTGAAAATGCTCCATGGTGGCTAGAACATGATGACATTAGGTTGGAGCTCAGAAAATTTTTAACATAAGATACAGTCCTGATTCCTGTGTTTAAATTGTTTCTATTCCATTCCTGTATTCCTTTCATCAACTCTGACCTAGGAGTGGGATTTCTAGAGCCTGAGTAACAATAGTTTACAGTGTAGTTTCAGTGACTACTAAGGCCACAAATGTGGTAGTCTGCTGATGCAGAGGCAACATTTTCATTAAATTCAAGAGTAAGAAAATCATATCTTTTAAACACATAATTCTATACACAGGAACAAACTATACCAGTACACAGGAATGCCAAGAAGACATTAACTAAATATAGAATTATACAGCTGCCCAAAGTGTAAATTAAAGGGCCCTAAATGGAAATTGGGTCAGGTTACAAAAACTAGCAGGATTGTACAGGGAAACTGTCAAGAAATCTTAGGTGATGTGGGAGCCCTAAGTTATAAGATGATACAACAGGAAAGCATTCTTTTCATTTTAATAAGAGGCAAAAGGATATAAACAAATAAAATATCCTCCTATCCTGCTAACCTCCTATCTGCCTACCTTCTCTTCCCACAGAGGTAGAGAAAACTGATACTGACGACTCTATAAAGGCAGATAATTATAATAATTTTTTTTCTTTTTTGGGAAAGTAACCCTGAGGTCATATAACCATAAGTATGCACTTATGATGGATGAGATAGAAGCCAAACTAAAAGAGGAAAGCTGTGGTCTATTCACACTTGTCTAATATATTGTCACTCCCTCTAGGATTGCTAAGAAATAGTTACAATTGATTAGTTATAAGTTGTTATTTGGGAAACTTCTCAGAGAGCAGACAAACACAGCACACTTCTTTAAAATGTCATTTGCAAAAGAACAGATTTATTCACCTTAAGATTGGATACCTAGAAAGAATCACCAGACAGTTAACTTACAGTCATCTGGAGGAACAGTACATAATAATCATTATGAATTTATTTTATCTGGCTAGTTGCTCTTAATAACAGCTTAATGGGCCCTGTAACAAAGGGAAAGCAGGTTTTTGTAGTTCAAGTAATCAACAAGCATTTGGGCTCTGTTCTTTTCTGTCTACACTCCCTCGGTGAGCTCATCTAGATGTGTGGTCTTAAATACCATTTATTTTCTTATTATTCTCAATTCTCTCTCTCTAACCTGGACTTGACTGCTTAACTCCAGATGCAGATTTCCAATTGCCCGTTCAAAATCTCCACCAAAACGTATAATAGGTATCTCAAACTTAGCAGTTCCAAAATTAAGGTCCTAATCTCCTCCACACTTCCTCCTACTCCTCCATGTTTCCCCATCTTAGTTAAGGACAACTTCATTTCTTCCGTTTGCTCAGGAGAAAAGTATTAGGGTAATCCTTGACCTCTCTCTTCCTCTCTACATCTCTAACCTACATCCTTTCAGCTCTACCTTCAAAGTATGTTCAGGATTTGACACTTTTTACCCCTCTGTTGCTCTTCACAACATTTCTTGCCTGAATTTCGTAGTGGTCGTCTGTTAACTGATCTCTCTGCTTTCACCCTTGTTCAACCTTCAGTTTCTTATCAATTCACTGCCTAGGTGTTCTTCATAAAGTATAAAACAGATGATGTTACTGCTGTATATAAAACCCCAAATGCTTCTTACTTCACTCAGAGTAAAAGCCACAGGCATTACAGTAACCTACACGACCCTACCCAGTATAACTCTACCCTCTCTTTGACCCTGTTTGCTGCTTCTCCCCCAATTACTCATTCTGTTCCAGGCCCACTGGCCTCCTTGTTGTTCCAAGCTATGCTTCTGCCTCAGAACCTTTGTTTTTTTCTGTTTCCTCTGCTGAGTAATAATATCTTTCCTCAGGTGACTGCATGATGCCCTCCTTTACCTCCTTCTTGTTCAATACAACCTCCTTACTGGTTTTTACTCACATATGAAGCTTTCTCTACTACATTACTGAAGATGGAAATTTTCCCTATTCCTATTCCCCTTTCCTATTTTACTTCTTTATACAACATTTCCCTCTGACAACCTATATAATTTACTTATTTTGTGTACTAATGGTCTCCCTCCAACAAAATATGAACTACATGAGGACAGGGATTTAGTGTTTTGTTCATTGCTATATTCCCCAGCATAGAATAGTGCCGAGCATATAATGACACCCAATAACACTTGCTTTCTGAATGAATGAATTTATTTAACACCCTACATAGAATTCAGTTGAAAAAAAGGAGAAGAAAATACAGAATAGTTTTATTGGTGTGGTAGAATGTGCTCTCTATGGCATGCTAATATTCATTGTTCAAGTGGCTGAACAAGGAATGAATAGCAGTCATTCAGTATGGAGTTTAAAGGTGAAGGAGATCAAGTGAACTTACAGTTTGTTAGTATTTTAATTAAGGAACTGAAAATTGATTACATTTAGAAAACTGAAGGGTGCATGTTAGGAATAGAATTCAGAGGAATCTCAGGTAAGTTAGAAAATTTTTCTCTCAAAATTTAAAAAGAGACAAGGAAATTCAGTCTGCTTCGAGCAAGGAAATGCTCTGCAAAGTAAGTTACAGTATATGGGTCAGATTTTTAGGTTCTCCACCTGAAGTCACCACATTTCTGTTTCTTTAGCTACTGTGTGTCAGGAGAGCAGGCAAGTCCTAAATTAGTATACCTAGTGCTAGCCCTAGAGTGAGAAATTGTGTAATTACTGTCTCAGTGTTATGCAGATCTCTCCATGAAGTCTTTTGGCTTAGAAAAAGTGAAATGATTTCTTTGCTTAATTGAATTGTATTGAAAGAATAAAGAATCTGTGCAATGTATAACTCAAAGAGGTAAATAAAATGAACTTTGCTTCATATTGACTTTCAAACTAACTGTAGGTAAAGGTTCTCACTCTTCACAATTAGCTTTCATTCAATGGATAGCAGGATATAGATTGCAGGTATCCAGTGGCTATTATGTAGTCTGTAAGTCCCTCTTGCCAGAGTAAAGATGATTCCTAAATTCTCTTTGAAGTCAGATAGTCCTAACCTCCTCCAGAGGGAGCTCAGGATCCAGCATTTTCAGGACATGGAGCCAGTCTCTGCCCTGGTCTAACAAACAGGACAAGCCGTTTATTTCCCTGTAAAACTGAACTGGTGTATGAAGATGGGGTACTAATACAGCATTGTTTTTGCTTTAAATCATTGATTTTTGCTGCCTTAGATGAGAGATGTAATAAAGATCCGTGGTAGGACTTGCGTTTCCTCAGATGAAAGACTCCAGAGTCTTAGGAATTTCAAACCAAGCCTGAGATTATTTATATACATTTCAAGCAGCACCTCCTGGGCGTCTCTGAGTAATTTCTTTGTGGCTACTAATTATCACATTGAACAGTACTATTACAATGTTTAAAGCATCTGATGCCTCATGAAAAACCTTAAAAAACAGACTTATTATGGAATAATCTGCCATCAGTACTCTTTTTTGGATTTTTGTTTGATAGATTTGAGTTGGGAAATTTAGTTCCTTTAGTTGCTATCCTTCAAACAGAATATCTAGTGGTATCAGACTATTTTTTGAAACTATACCTGTGAACTCCTGGGGCTTCTTTCTTTTTAAAAGTATTTGTTGAATAAACATTCAATTTTTATTAAAAGCCATATAGTATAATAGAGTCCACATTGTTAACAGATTGCCTGAACTAGAATCATGGTTTTTACCACTTTTTCACTGAGGAGTATGTATGTGGTGCTTTGTTGCCTCTGTTTTACCAGTTGGAAAACTGGGACAAGAATAGCATATCTCTTAGAGATACTGTGAGGACTTACTGAGATAAGATTTAATACACACAGGGCATAGTAAATGTGTACTGATGAAATTTAGTTGTCTACATGGCCTTTGGAGTCTCCTTCAAAGATGCAGAATTATGGTCTTTAATTTTAGTTAAATTTTAGGTCTAGAGGTACCCTTTACCCTTGTTGTATACTGTCTGTGAAATTCTGAGGGAACCTGTGCCATGCTCTTCATTTGTTTAGATATGAAGACAGCTTGGGTGACATACATCACATATCTGCTCTGCATGTATAAAATGTCCCATTAATACAAGAATAAACATGGCATTTAGAGTTTCAGAAAAGAAAACTGTTTAATATGTCTCCTTTTGAAGTTTGGAAGAAAATTAATCTCTGCAGACTCAGTAGCACTTTTTAGAGTAGTGTCACGTCAAAAGGGAGATACTAATATTGAAGTTATGTTCTATTCTGGGAAAACTAAGTCTAGACCAGCAGTTTCTATTTTTTTAATCTTTTGAAGCTACATTGAAATTTTCTCAAGAGTCTTTGTGCATTAGTGGAGCACCTAAGGTGATGGCTGTGTTAGGGTGCTGAGAAGATGACTTACTGATTAATGTAGGGAGATGCAGGTTTTATGGAGCCTGAAGCTTTTCAATTTGAGAGCCCTTTTTTGGGAAAAAGAATACAAAATTACAACTGCAAAATTGCTAATCTGTTTTCATGGCCTTGGAAGGAGACTGTACAAGGGAGGGGATTACACTGGCTTCTTGGCAAATATACCTCTGCTGATGGAATTGCCATTACTTGATTCTCTGTGGCCACTGGAAGTCATGCAGAGAAGTGGATTACGGCAGCAGCAGTGGCAGTTGAATTGGCAATCAATGAGGTCAAGCTTTGAAATCTATTGGGTATATATTCGTGTGATGATTAAGAGAGCTGGCTCCAATCCTTAGGCCAAGTGGAGTTGTTATAAGTGGAAGGGCTTACAACTGTAGCTCAGTAGGTTGCTGCTGTGTGGCACTCATTTCCTTTCATTTGGAAGAAGGAACATAGAATACGGTCACAGTGATAGGAAGCACCCTGATGCATTTAAGAACTTGAAGGATAAATTTTGAAAAAAAAACTTGAAGAATAAAATTAAAATTTAATCTATTAAATATTGTATGGTGTCTGTTTTCACCACAGTAAGAAAACTTTACTTTTGTTGGGCACCAGTTACCTCCTAATTGTCAAATTCAGTGGCTTTCTTTAAGTCTTCATTTTCCTGATTTTCTGTCACATTTGACACTACGAATTGTCTTTTCCTTCTGGAAACACTCTCATCTTTTTGTTGCATCTTTGTTTTCTTCTCATCTACAAACAATTTTTTGCTCTACTGATAATTTATCTTTACACCTATTTCCCCATCAGCATTCTCTGAGGTTTAGTTTTTAAGCCCTCCACTCTTCCCTGCTTCCTTGAGAGAAGTGTGCGGCTCTTTTAGCTTGACTACTACCCCTGGGGTATTTGAGGGTATTACTGCAAGGTTTGTAGTTCTGACACTGACACTAATCTGCTAATATTTCCACTTTATCATTTTGTTGTTTCTTCAAACTTATCATATCTAAACTGGATTAATTTTTCCCCAAACCATCTTTCTCTTCCCTCCTAGATTTTCTTATTTCTAAAAGTGGTATCATGGTTCTCCCTGGCTTGAAACTTGGCATCAACTTCATTTTTTTGTTTCAAAATATCTGATAGCCTTCCAGGCATTAGGTCTACTTGACTCATTCTTTCTAGCACACTTTGGTCCTATCACATTGTATTAATTTTTCTTTCTTAAGTTATATAGCCTCTCTAGGACTCTTCCCATGCCAGGTGATCTATTTTCCCTCTTGACTATCATTTTTATTGTTTATACTATGTATACTATATATAAACAAATATTATATGTTACACATCCTGCTTTGTGATGCTAGCTGCCTCTTAATTTATATCTTTGTACCTTTATACCCTACCCCTAGTACCTTCATATAATTAGGTACCTTAATATATATATGGAACAAATAATTTAAATTCCAAGTGGCCTTGGTAGTTTAGAGGCTTGCTGAAGAATCAGTGAATGATATTAAAAGTGATCAGTAATAATCTGAGGCATAGATGTCACTGAGCAAGCTGTCAAAAGAAATCTTGGTTTAGCAGTTAGTAGTGTCATACTGCCGTTCTGCTTTAAAACTTTAGAGCACTGAAAATTCTGTTTGCCTTTGGGGAGATATAGCTGAAGTTTTCCTGAAGTTTCAGCCTTCTTAGATCAAAAGCAATTTTACTTTTTCACTTTTAGTGATATTTGTACTAGATATCTGACAATACATGTGCTGGCTATCCTGAAAAGTTCCAATTATAAAATCTTTCATTAGTGGCCAAAAGGTACTATTGGTTTAGAGCCTGGGTTTTAGCAGGTAACTCAGATGAAAGCAGATAAAGTCTAGGACCTAAGCAAAGTGGGAAGTTGTATTGGAAATTGCACATAAAGCTGAGTCCTTAAAAATTATAACCCTGAGTAAAGAGTGAATTAGGCAAAATCTACTCCTCAAAGAGAGATTGTAGAGAAATTTGTCTGTCTTGTCCTTGGCTCTAGATGGAAAAAAACACAAACCAACAACCTTTCTCCTAAGAATTCACATCCATCCTTCATACAGGTTTGGTGTCAGAATTCACTCTACACATGCGATCCCCCAAAACCCAAGATTAGAATGTGGTTTAAAGTGCTACTGTATTAATAATAAAACCAGTTGCCTAGCAGAAGCAAACACAAATACTCTCTGGAGGAATGCACTTTAAATGAGGGTCTTAAAGAATTCCCACAGATACATTTACTGTGAATATGGGCTCACTGTTAAAAAATCACAAGCAAAGAATAAGCCAACATGAATGGGAGTTTACAGAAATAGCAAACAGACTCAAACCTGCTAAGACTTAATAATTAAACTTGTCAGATACATAATATACTGAAGCTTATTTACCATACGTAAAGAAATAAAGAGAATATTGACTGTATGATTCAAAACAAAAACTATCAAAAATAACTGGGCAGGTTTGGAAAAAGAGCATAATAGAATACCCATCTAGAAATAAAGGCATAATAATTGAAATTAGGATCTTAGTGGATTGATCAAATAGTAATTATATAGAGCTGAAGGGAGAATTAGTGAATGGAAAAATATATCTAAAGAAATTACCCAGAGTACATCCTAGGGAGACAAAGAGGTGGAAAAAATAAAATCGAAGTTAAGAGATGTATGTGATGTATGAGAAAGTCTAACATATGGCTAATTAGATTTCTAAAAGGAAGAAATAGAAGAAATGAGAGTGGGAAATAGTCAAAGAAATAATAGCTGATAATTTTCCAGAATTGATTAAAAAAAAAAACAAACCCAAGAATCCTCAGATGCAGGAATCCCAGTGAATCATAAGACTAACTAAAATGAAACCCACTCTTAGATACATCATCATGAAAGCATAGAACACCAAAGAAGTGAAAAAATTAAAAGCAGTCAGAGTAGATTGATCACTATAAATGAATGTCAGGTACAGTGACAACTGACTTCTCAACAGCACAATGGAAGTCATAAGACAGCTGGAATAATATCTTCAAAGGATGAGGAGAAAATAGCTGTAAACTTGGAATACTGAGGCAGATTAATTAATAGTCATCTCCAAATATCTGTTTTCTGCTTCTTTTGTAATTAAATCCTTGGTTTTTAACTGAGCACGTGAATACCTGGAATAAAAACTACTTTTCCCAGCTTTCTTTACAGTTAGGATTATCAGAGAAGTAGTGAAAGTAGTAATTTGTATTAAGTTCTAACAAGTCAAAGGTTTTGCTTTATTGCTGTCAATTTCTAAGCTTTCTACAATTTCTGCGTCACAGAACAGGGAGGAAGTGATTCAAGGAGAGGCTGCCACTTTTGGTGAGTTGATGAGGCAGAAATATAAGCTTGGGGAGGTCAAGGTGGCTAGAGTTTGCAAGGCTCAAATACCAGAGAAGAGAGAACTATGTAGAGAAGGAACTTAGAAATCTGCATGGGTTCCCCTCCAGTCTTTGGCTGAGTACTAATCTGTGCATGTGCTGCTTTCATACAATATCGAAAGTGAAATGAAAATTCACTGAAATGAGTCCAAAGCAAATTAGATACTGTAGAAGAAAATATCAGTAGCTTTAAGACATGGCAATAGAAACCATCCAAAATGAAGCACAGAGGAAGATTGAAATAAAATGAAACAAAACTGAAATAAAAACAAAATGACTCTGGGATAGTATTAATCAGCCTAACATACATGTAATTGTATTCCTAGAAATAGAGAGGAAAGGGCAGAAAAAATATTTGAAGAAAGAATGGTTGATATGTTTTCAAATGCATTGAGGAGTATAAATCCTCAGGTCCAGGAAGGTCAGTAAACCCCCAAGCAGGTGAACTAGCAAGTCACAACTGGGAACTGATATATCTAAAATATATAGTAAATTCCTAAAAGAAAACAACAAGAAAAAACCAACATATCCCCCAAAGTGAGCAAAGGACAGAATGAGATATTTCATAAAAGCAGGAAGATGAATGGCCAGTAACATAAGAGCTTCATTACTAAGCAGAGAAATGTAAATTAATACCACAGATGCCGGTTCTCAGTCTCACCAATTTGGCAAAAACTAATTGTCAACACCAAGTGTTTGTGAAGATATGGAGTAATAGGGTCTCTTATTCACTGCTGGTGGGAGTGTACATTGGGACAGTCACTTTAGAAAATCTGACGTTATCTAGTAAGGTTGTAGATGGGCACACTCTATACCCCACTGTTCCTGTTTACCCTAGAGAAAGTCTTGCACATGGACTTCAGGAGATAAGTATAAGGATGTTCTAGCAGTGTTGTTTGTTAAAGCAAAAATTGGAAACAAGCCAAAAGTCCTTCAACAACAGACTGGATAAATAGAGAGATAATTAATACACACAGAGTGAAAATGAATGACCTACAATTTTATGCATCAACATTAATAAAATCTCACCAACATCTTTCATCAAAAAAGCAAGTCACACTATGATTCCACGTATATAAGTTAAAAACCAGAGAGGACGGTAATAACTCAGTGGTAGAGCACATATTTAGCATGCACAAGGTCCTGGGTTCTATCCCCAGTACCTTCATAATAAAACAAAATAAAATAAATAAAATAATAAACATGCAAAACTGTATCTCAAAATACACAATATATGATTAGATTATAAAGAAAGGCAGGAATAACAAACACAAAATTCAGGATAGCAGTTCTGTCTGCTAGGAATGTGATCAGAGAGAGTACCTGGAGCCTCAGTGGTCCTAGTAATGTTAGGTTTCTTGAGTCACTTGGATTCAAGGGAGTTTGTTTTATTATTATTCTTTAAATATGCTAATTATTTTGTCAGAATTATATTTTCATTATAAAAATATTTTAACAAAAAAAGAAATTCTTATAAACTAAGTGTAGGGTGGAGATGGATATTAAAGTCAGCACAAGAAGAGCAGGACTCCTGTAGAACATCCCTATGGATGATTATTCACTTTGTTTTATTTTTTATTTTTAATTTGTATGTGTATTTTTATTGTGAAACATTTTAGAAATATAAAAATGTATAGAGAATAATATAATAATCACTTATGCATCCATGACCTCATGTAAAACTATACAAAAATAGTTGAAACCACTTGTGTAACCCTCCCCAATTACATTCCCTTTCCTGCATCCCCAATAATCACAGTTATGAAATTTGTATCTGGCATGTCCAGATACAAATGCCTGATTTTATGTATGTACCCTTAAAACTTTGTATCATGTAGTTTGTATTGTATTGTTTAGCATGTTTGGCATTTTACATAAATGGTATCACTCAGTACGTGTCCTCCTGCAACTTATTTTTCCCCAGCTTCTTTTTCTTTTTTAATGTTTGTCCATGTTGATATGCAGGATTCTTTACATCCAGTTTAAATTTGTGTTTCCAATGCTTCAAAATTTAAAGAAACCTTTTGCTACAGGAAATATCAAATATATACAAGAGTAGATATGCATGATACATGATCCCGCATGTACTCATCACCGAGATTTAACAATTACTAACATATGGAGAATTTTGTTTCATCTATTCCCCCACTCATTTCCCCACTTCTTGTATTATTTTGGAGCAAATCCTAGACATCAACATAATTCTGCCCTAAATATTTCAAAATGTATATCTAAAAGCTAAGTCTTAGTGGGGGGGGGTATAATTCAGTGGTAGAATGTGTGCTTAACATGCACAAGGTCCTGGGTTAAATTCCCACTACCTCCATTAAAAATAAATAAGTAAGTAAACCTAATTACTCCCTCCCCCGCGAAAGTTAGCAAAATAAATAAGTAAATAAGCTGTCTTCTTTTTTATAAATAAAAGACATAATTATGTCCTTAAAACTGTCAAGTTTCTTAATAGCATCAAATATCTGATCACTGTTCAAATTCCGTGTTTCTCATATTTTTACATTCTGTTTGTATCAAGTCTCTCTTTTAATTTTCTTAAATTACTGATGGGCTGCCCTGTGCAAGGCATTGAATGAAGTTCTGTTGAAGATGTGTGGCTCTGAAAATCTTACTCTGAGCTTAGGGCAGCCATTGTTGGGGGGAGAATCTAAACTTCTCCAGGTGGCTTATGGAAACCAACAGTCATTTCCACAGATGCCTAGTTTGTTCATCACTGATAATCATTTAATTCTGTGATAATGTTTTTTGTCCTTCCTATAGACCTTGTGTAAAGAACTTTTGTAATGTATCTTCCTTCTTAGATGGTTATGCAGTTACTCAATATTTACTGTTTCATGTGAGATATAAATAATACTTCTTTGTTTACTAAAATTCATTCTAAGCGAATACTCATTTCCATCATCCTACCATCCTTGTTTTTCCTTGAAACTGAAGAAGAGTGTCGGATTAGACAAAAGAATGAGGTTATGGCCAAATGAGATAAGGTACCTGGAAGTAGACTGTAACCTGTAAGGTGCTATACACGTGGTCATTTTTATAGAATAGTTAGCCCTCATCTCTCACACACTTTACTTTTGTACTCACTATACTTCCAACTTCTCCTTAGTTCACCTGTCTTTTTTGGTTTTGGTTTGGTTTGGGGGGTAATTAGATTTTATTTATGTATTCATTCGTTTATTTAACAGTAATACCGAGGATCAAACCCATGATGTTGTGGATGGTAAGCATGCACTCTATCACTGAGCCATACCGTCTTCCCTCACCTGTCTTATGTTTAGGCTCTTATCCATCATTTGGGCCATTGCAGCCAAGCAACCTCTGCCAGGTCTAAGGTGCAGTCTTCAAAGTGTTGCTCTTATTGTTGGCCCAGTGGTACTTATGTGACAAGTTGAATATTTTACTCTTTGAGGATAAAAATAAAAATTGTTGGCAGTAGGAAAATGAGGCTGCTGATGCTAAGGATTAGAAACGTCACTGTCATGAATGTAATAGCATCAAAACAAAGATGCTCCTTAGGGGTGCTAAGAAGTTGCTAATTAATCTTTAGCCTCATCTGGAGTTACTTACCTGCTAGATGACATATTCAGTTGTGATGAAAAGGAAAAAAGAAAGAATATCTGTAAGTGCTGGAAACATAATGTTTGATACTAGGAATAAAATGTGAGATGTAATAGGGATTTTTATAATATTTTTAGCTCTCTGGGAATGAACTGTCCTTTAAACATTTAAAATGTATGTTTGACCATACATTTGACTTTTGAATGTTTTCAGAACATGAAACTGCCTGTAGTTGAATAAAGCTTCCTCTCCCACAGTCACCCACAGAGATAGAACTCTGGAGATAGAGAGAAGAAACCAGCCTAGCCCTGCCTATGACAGTAGTGCTCAGCCAGCCTAGAGGGAAGGGCAGGAAGAGAAAGGGGGGGTGGTGAGCTCTGTCCAGGAGAACAAGCCATTCCTCTTTCTTTGGCAGCCCAGGGCAATTATTTCATAAGGAGTCATCTTGATGTTATGTGCCCAGTTCACATGCTCAAAATATGCTGCCCAGCTACATTGTTTCCTGTTGAGTAAGCATTGTAGGTGTCATCTTCTGGTATTTGACTGAGGCAGGAACCTGAGCAGTCTCACCTGAAGTCTTGTTGACACTGAGAACATGGCATTGACTTAAGGCATCATTTATTGCAAGACAGAGGATTTCTTCAACAGTTAGGTTGGCCAGCTTCCTGCAGCTAAAACTCAATGATAGTCATTGACCTCGTGGTCTTGATAATCTGTAGGCAGGGGTAGAGGATGCAGCACAGACTTGTAGCCTTCACTATGTGTTCTGCCCTCAAATTACAAGTACACCAAGAACACACATCACAACTGCATCATCAGGAGGAGGAGGCTAGAAGTGCTTCTAGCCCTACGCCATACTTAGGTCCAGCACTTTGTGCTTATTTTTTGGCAAAAGCTTTGGGAGCAGAGGAAGTCATAGTCTGATCATTATCATTTGACAACATCACTGATACTACTTTTCCCTTGATAATCCCCTAAGCTCGGCTATGTTCAATTATATTTCACTGTATTTGCTCTCAAGAGGTAAATTCTGTTAGCAGAAGGGGAAATGGTCACAGTCCTTGGGGGAAAATGTAGCTCATACTTTGAGATTATCCTGTAAAAGAGAACCTTAGGGAAACAGTATCATAATAATGATAATGAGCCACAGCTTTATTTAAACATTAGTGAATTGTATTTGAGTTGCCAATATCTGTTTGCTAACTAGATTGTAAGCAGTTGTATGGCAAAGAACCAAGTTTTCTTCATGTTTTATTCCTTATGGCACTTAGTACATGGTGGGGATTCATTAAAGTACAGCAGAGAAGATACGTATAGTAGTAAGTAGTAGTAGTAGTAGTAGTAGTAGTAGTAATAATAATAATAATAATAATAATAATAATATAATAATAATAATACGGCAGAAAGTAGTTAGTGCTGAAAAGAGGTATGCATGATATATGGGATCCAAGGAGAGACAGAACTGGGGGAACTTAAAGTGCTTCAAGGGGTGGTGTCTCTTGACAGACAGATGGACCTTAGTAGTCTGAAATAAGGGCTGTCATATGTTGGATGTTTATTATGTGCCGGACACTGTGCTAAGCATTTTACATGCTAATCCAACCAAATCCTCCCAGCAACTCTGTGAGAAAGGTACTATCATTTTCCCCATTCTAGAGCTGAATAAACGTATGGCTCAGGCAGATCAAGTGATTTTTATCAAATTCCCACAGCTGGAAGGTGACAGAGCCAGGATTCCATCTAGTCTGACATGAAAGGTATGCTCTTAAACACTGGGCTACTTGTCCCTTATTCTAGGACGTGAAATAAGTGGTTCTGTTTGGAAGAACATGGACCATGTTCTAAAAACACTGACTAGTTGATGTCAGTGATGATGCGAGAGAATAGAATACGTGGAGATTGGAGAACAATGGGGAATATGGTTGCTCCAGTAAGTCAGGGACACATCTCACTCAGAGAACTTGGAATGCTACAGTAAAGAATCAGGGATTTTCAGAAGGTGATAGAAGCATGAATGCCTGTTATTGAAGAGGCAGGATTAGCTGTGTACTTTAGGAAGACAACTCGGTGTGACTGGGCAGGATGAGAAGCAGAAAAACGAGTTAGGTGGCTATTGCAGTAGTGGTACAGGAGTGAAAAGGCATGTGTAGCCCCAAGAATATGTGCTTTCCTCCGCAAGCCTGACTGGGATTGTTTCATTTTAAGAAAAACAAAAGCATGTTCAAAAATCTAGACTCACAAACGACATAAATTAGGGGATAATTATTGATTTTACAAACTGCGTTCTATTTGAGAGCTTTTAAAATACTATCTCCTTTAGAGAATTTTTTGTATATAAATCTTTGGGGACTCTATAAACTAACCTATAGTATGTAATATTTTCTTACAGGAACATTTGTCAATCAATCATTACCAATTAATATGTATATATCTCTTAAAACAAACCTCCCCCCCTTTTTTTTACATGACTCTACTTTTAGCCCTTATGAATGCTACTAAATGTTATTACACGTCCAATAAGTTCCTAAAATATTTCCAAAGAAATAGAAGCCAATAGAAATAAGCACTGGGAAACTCTCAGACTATTGTTTCTGGACTGTGCTTTGAATCTACAAATAATTCCCTGGATTACGGTGCCCACTCACATTCCTGAGCTGTGTGTAGTTCTGAGGCCACGTGTGACACCATGACACGGGCAAATCACACAGTCTCCACTTGTCCGAAGGGACTCACTCATAAGAAAGCAGACTCTCTTTCCTTTCAGGGGGATTTCACCCCGTGATTCCTCACACAAAAGGGCAGAATAAAGAAATAGCAACGATTAGGTTGACTGTGAGATCTCCTCTTCCACTTTCTGAGGTCTTATCAGCAAAACTAGAAGCATGCCCTGTTTAACCGCAGAGCCTGTGGGAATGGCTGTTTTACATCTCTATGGCTATGGAGATACCTCACGTCTCTCCACTGGTCAGCATTTTTTCTTTGCTGTCTAAAACATGATCACCTGGATATTATGGAATTATTAATTTCAAATGTGGGAGTGATTATGTTAAAATGAATTTTTGTCTTTTAGAAATACATATTTATAGACGAAAGATTTATAGATGAAATTTTATGATGCTTAGAATCTGCCTCAAAATGGCACAGGATGGGGGAAGCCAGTGGGGGTGCAGATAAAATAATAATGGCCTTGAGTTGATGATTATTGAAACTGGATAATGGGTGTGTGGGGCTCAATATACTAATCATATATAAATTAGTGAATAGTGATTAGTTTTACCAAAGGTCTACTTTGTATATATTTTAAATTATACATAATTTAAAAATAATAACTGTTTAGTTAGAGGGCAGAATTAGCAATGTTTAGATTTTGGGTTGAGTATTGTAGTGAAAAAAGAGAAATGCTGATGAATTTTTTCTAGAAAAATGTGCATCCCAGTAATTTCTCTTCTCAATGCATCGTACACTATTCTGTCCATCACCTGCTCCAAGTCTACATTAACGCCATAGAGCTATGATCAGTTTCCTATGCATTTGCCTGTGCCTTTTATCTATATTCCTCGAGCTTTTTCA